AGTGTGGAGTCGGCCTGCAAACAACCGGAAACGAGCTTCATTTAATATACGACAGGATCTTAATCGGAAAAGCGACAAGCGTAGAAGGGGTATTCCTGCTCGACTTTGAGTCACCCAAGACCTCTGGCGACAATCACCACATCCTCGTCCTTGATCCACCCGGCCATCTGTCACCACCAAGGTGGAGCCATCCAAAAGAAACCGGCTGCCAGCGACCCGGCCTCGATGGAACCTGTCAGAATATTATGCTCTAGCCTGTAGTGGGGTGCTCTATAGCGAGTACAACCCTTCTAGGGTTTGCTATTTGTATCCTCATTCTTGCTAGTGCAACCCTCTTCTTTCTTCTAAACTTTCACATGCTATCAGAGCAGGTCGATCCCCTTGGATCGATCCTGTGGGTGGGCTCACCACCTCGTTGCTTCCGCTGCAACTGCTAGTGCTACTCTCTGTGCCGCACGCCCCGTGGCGTGCGGCAGTTTTTCTTCCCGCCGTGCGCCCCGAGGCGCGCGGCGGTTTTCTGCCCGCCGTGCGCCCCAAGGCGCGCGGCGGTTTTCTGCCCGCCGTGCGCCCCGAGGCGCGCGACGGGTTTCTGCCCCGTCACTCGGCGCGTCGCCCCCGGGAGGCGCTGCAACGGGCGATGGGGACCCGCGCGTCGCCCCCCGTCGCCGCTCGTATCGGCCCCGAACCGCCGCCAGCGGCCCCGTCGTCGCCGCCAGCGGCCCCGTCGCCGCCACTTGCGGCCCCGGCCCTGCCCTGGCCATGCCTCGTCGCCAGCCGCGGCGCACCGGGGGCACGTGCACCCCCCCCGTAACCTCTCTACCCGCCATCCCGCCCTGCCCTGTGTTCGGGTTTGGGGGTGGCGAGTGGGGGGTGGCGGGTGTGTTGTCTCCCCTGCTCCTCCTCCTCCTCTGTCTCCCACTGCTGCAGCTGCCGCTGAGGGGGGTGGGTGTGTGGGAGTCGACGGAGTGGTGCTAGGGGGTGGGGTGTGAGTGACCCTAGGGGTGCAGTAGGGGGTGTGTGAAATGGGGGTGGGATAGTTTGGGGAGGTTGAAGGGGGTGGCCGCCGAGAACCCAGCAGCTCCAGTCGCCCGTGAGTCCGTTGCTCGTCTGCCGCTACTTTTAGCCGCGGAGCCAGTTACTCCAGTAGCCCGTGTGCCAGTTGCTCCAGTTGCCAGTGTGCCAGTTGCTCCAGTTGCCCGTGTGCCAGTTGCTCCAGTTGCGCCGTGTGCCAGCAGCTTTAGCTGCCGCCCACTACCTCCTCTCCTCTCATAGTCCCTCCTCCTCTACACTAGCCCTCTGTGATAGCCTCTAGCTTTGCTCATAATTGTGAACTTTAAACTATTGCTTCTTGTACTTGTGCTCAGAATGTGTGGTGACATTGTGATCCACCCTGAGCTTGTACTGCTTTGCTTGCTCTGCTGATTACACCCCACTTTGGCTATGGGGGTGTGTCATAATATTATGCTCTAGCCTGTAGTGGGGTGCTCTATAGCGAGTACAACCCTTCTAGGGTTTGCTATTTGTATCCTCATTCTTGCTAGTGCAACCCTCTTCTTTCTTCTAAACTTTCAAAGAACCTTCCGCGCTCTTGCCGTACCCGTCACCTGGACCACGAACTCTACGACACAGGACCACAAGCTGTGGAAGAAGGAGAAGAGATCACATCAGAAACGGCAGTTGCGACAACAGAAACGGTAAACACGGAAAGTACGCGAACAATCTAGCCCCGCGTTCAACAACCTACTTGCTGGAACACCACCGAGGGATGGGACGCAGTAGACGTACGCTGGGTTATGGAGAACACCGCACTGGGAGAGGCCGTCGCAGCTGAAACTGGATGGGAAAACGTCGCCGGAGGACGCAGCAGAGAAAGCAGAAGCAGCAGAAGAACCAGGATGCACAGAGGAGGCACCAGAAGCAGAGGAAGAAGAGTCACTAACGAAGTACGGCCCTCACCTCATTCCCATCACAATGGACGGCATGGATTACCTCCGCATTGAAACAAGGGGAGCGGCGATCGGCGACAACGACTTCGAAGCATGAGAAGTCATGCAGCCGGAAGATAATCATCCACGAATCACACCCCCGCCTCCTTAAGGGACACTATAGCTCCCCGTGACGATTGATACTTCTACGCTCGGCGACACCAGCGGGACATACCACAGCGCAACACTCGAAGCAGCGGCAGTTCAAATTACCGTACCCGACGAACCTGCGTAACAAGTTGGGAAGGAAATCGGAGCAACAATATTAGCACGAGAGAAAGAGCTCTACGCGCGCACAAAGGGATATCGTGCCGACGGGGACATCTAGCACCAACGCTCCTAGCACCCATCAATTGAAATGCTCAACAAGTGCATCAACGCAAACGTCTTTGCGGCAGACGCATTGTCGCTGCCAGGTGGAAAGCTACTAGAACTAAGAACCAACTTACCCGACTGCACCGTCTGCCAGCAGCTGCACTCCGTCACAAGCCCTTCGCCGAAAAGATCCTTGGAGGCAAACGCTAGAAGCCGCTGGAGAAAGTCTACATCGATTTCCTAGTGCTCACGGCGAAGGAAGTTGGAGGGGAGCAATGCACACTTACCTTCATCGACGCCAGCACACGCTTCGTGTAGGCCGTAAATGTCAGCAACCGCTATCTTGCCTACCAGTGTTTCAAAGTCTGGCTGAGCATGGCGAAGAGTCAGAGCGAAGGACAGAAGCTGAAGGCATTTCAAACGGACGGAGCCCTGGAGTACCAGACGGAGGAGTTCAAAACCCTCTGCAAGCAGAAGGGAATCAGAAGGATGATTTCCCTCCCTTACGCTCACGAACAGTAGAGATTGGCTGAGTGAACCAACAGGAGCCTAGCGACAAAAATGCGAGCCCTCATGAAGCAGTCAGCTGTGCCAACCAAATTCTGGCCCTTCGCGATGGCGCATGCGATTCGGGCACAACATGCTTTCTTCGAAAGAACTGCCCAACAATACCTCACTTTTCAAGGAGTGGAACGGAAAACACCCTGAAACACACATGCTGCGGGTCTTCGGGTGTATGGTACAGTACCGCCCCCACACTGCCCGGACCAGAAAATTTGAAGATCGCACCCGGTGGGGCATTCACCTTGAAATCGAATCCAAATAACACGCCTGGACAATCCTGGACTTTGCCACCCACCAGCTCGCGCGTTCACGCAACTGCATCTTCTACGAAAGACTGACCCTGCCACTATACCAATAGCACTGCACTGCACAAAATGCACCGGACAACAATTTTCAGGGACAGCACAGCTACGCCAATGACGAGGACGATGTCGACGTGGCAGACGAACAGCCAGACGAGGCAACAGAGGTTGAAGGCACCCTTTGTACCCGTTACGGAGGAGTTCGGCACACCTACATTTTGTCCAACGGACACTGATCAACATGAAGCAGTGCAGGCAAAGCACGATTATGCAAGTGCAGAAATGCACTCACCCATGGATGAAGACCCAGCTTGCAATTATTCTCGCAACGCCGTTTGCGACATCCCTGGCGTCGACGACGATGTGGTCAAAGTTACCAACGCAGCTGTATCCAACCTTACAGGCCTTCGCATCCTTGGGCTCGCCGTCGCCGTTCGGGGTAACCAGCAGCTGGTCGAGCCCACCACCGTTCTCTAGACCCTCAGCGGGCCCGATGCTAAGAAGTGAAGAGCAGCCATGCCCGCAGAAGTTGCTGCATTCCAGCGGCATGGCACCTGAAAGGTGGTACCACGACGACACGCAAAGGGGAGAAAATTTATCACAAAGAAGTGGATTTTCAGGATCAATACTCTCGCAGATGGGACTGTTGACAAGTATGAAGCACGTTGGGCCGTCCACGGATTCAATCAGACTCTCTTTCTGGATTACAATTAGACATTCGTACCTCTCGGCCGACACACTTCAGTGCGAATCCTCCTCTGCATCGCTGCCGTGAAGTAACACATTCTCCGCAAGATCGACGTCTCCAACGGCTTCCTCTACGCGATTGTCGATGCTATCATCTACGTCGAGCAGCCGCACGCCTTCGAGGAAGACGACGATGCCATCTGCCTCCCCCAGAAATCCCTGTACGGCATCAAGCAATCGCCACACCTCTGGCAGCAGTATCTCCACACCGTGCTCATCGAGCTCGGCTTCCCGCAGCTTCCCCATGATTAGGGGATGTACCGCCTGTGAGAATTGAGGAATGAATCAACTAGCAAGGAGGTGGGTACAAGTAGGAAAACCTAAAAGTGTTGTACCCCATATTGTCTACCCCACTACAGCCTACACAGACTATAGCATAGGATCTAAGTTTGACATACCCCCATAGGCAAAGTGGGGGAGAACAAGAGGTCACAAGACCAGTCAAGCAAAACAAAGCAAGCTCAGGGTGGATCACAAAGTCACCACACACTCCGAGCACAAGAGCAAGGCAAAAAGGCCAGTTCACATGCAAGATCGTATATAAAGGTAAACAAGCAAGTGCAGGTATAAAAAGATCACAGTACAAGCAAGGTCAAGAAGTGAGCAAGTGAGGCCAAGTAGGCACAAGACCTAGCATCGTACAGAAGCGCTGATGATCACAAGGCGGAAGTGCCTTGGTAAAGATATCAGTAGTGTTGGCCTCAGAGGCCACGTAAGCAAGGCGCAGCTGACCACGCTGCTGCAGCTCACGAGCAAGGAAGTAGCGAAGAGAAATGTGCTTCGTTCTGTGCTCCAGTCTGTGCTCCCGACACAAGGCCAACATGGCCTTGTTGTCTACGTACAGAACTGGAGGAGAACGAGGCGGCTCTCTTAGGTCAGTCAGCAGGTAGGTGAGCCAGCGTAGCTCCTGTGCAGCCATGGCCCCCGCGTAGATCTCAGCCTCACAGCTGGAGCTGAGAACAGAAGACGAGCGGGTAGACCGCCACGAAACAGAGCCGGAGCCAAGGCTGAAGGTGTAACCCTGTGACGACCGCTGCATAGCCTGGTCGTCAGCCCAAGAAGCGTCAGCGTGACCTGTGAGGACCACTCAACGTCGCCCTCCAAGCACTAGCCCCATGCCCGACGTACTGCACAAGTAGCGCAACACCCTCTTCGCTGCAGCCATGTGCTCTGGTCGGTGTCTCTCAGGAGCAACATAGCGTGCCAAGATGCTAAGAGGGTATGCAAGATCAGGTCGTGTGCAGGTCATCAGGTACATGAGGCAACCAACAAGCTCTGGGTACGGGCCACTCGTCTCTATGTACTCATCCGAAGGCAGAGCTGAGAGCGAGTGGCGAGTAGACAGAGGAGTGGCCTGAGGCGAGGAGTACGTGAAGTCGAAGCGCTGAAGGACCTGCTGCACCATGTGTGACTGAGTCAGGGTAATGGTGCGCTGTGCTCTGTCCCGGGTGATCTGCAAGCCAAGGTAGCTGCGCAGTTCACCCAGGTCTGTGCACGTGTGTCTCTTCTGCAGCTCGGACTTCACGTGGGCGAGTCCAGCAGTGTCAGCAGTGGCAAAGACCAAGTCGTCGACGTACACGAGGATGTAGAACGGCGGCAAAGAGGTGTCGGTGCGCAAAAACAACGACGGGTCGGCTGTAGAAGGAGCAAACCCAAGAGCCGCAAGTGTAGTCCTCAGTGTGTCGTACCACTCACGGGGCGCCTGGCGGAGATCGTAGACAGGCCGCCGGAGGATCCACTGGGTACCAGGAGGAAACGACCCAGTGAAGCCAGGTGGGCGGCGTAGCCAGATCTCCTCGTGCAGGCTGCCCTGCAGGAAAGGTGTGCTAAAGTCAAGAGAGTGAAGCTCGTAGTCACGCTGAGCGGCTATGTGCAGCAGCACCCAAAGAGTGGTCATCTTCGGGGTGGGAGAGAAGGTCTGAAAGTAGTCAACTCCTTGCCGCTGACTGAAGCCTCGAGCCACGTAACGCGCCTTGAAGACAGGCGGAGAACCCGGCGGCCGCTTCACCCTGAAAATCCACATGCCACTGACGATGTTCGCCCCAATTGGGGGAACTTTGTCGACGTAGGTGCCTGTGGACTTCCAGGAAGCCATCTCTGCATCCATGGCTGGCTGCCACTGAGAGGAGTAGGGACCCTCGATCGCCTCAGCGTACGATCGAGGAGTCGGGATGTCTGGTGCATCCGGGTCTCCCTCAGGGGCAATCAGCGTGGACACGAGATGAGGCAAAGCAGCAGCAAAACACTGGAACTCCTCCTGCCTGTCCTCAAGGACGTCCGTGCTAAGAGCACACTCACCCCCGACGGACGGAGGACAGACAGACTCAGACTCAGCAACAAGGCTAGCGACGTAGTCTAGACGACACTGAGCCGCAAAGTCGACAAGCTCAGTAACCAAGGTAGACGCAGCAGTGGACTCAAAGGAAGGGTCAGTGACCACAGTGGCCAGGAGACGCGTGACAGTAGGACTGGCAGCACGAAGAGAGTCAGCCTCAGGGTCAGCAAGAACAGGAAGAGAGGACCCTGGAGGAGACGCCAACGGGACACGCAGAAGAGCAGTGGAAGGACGTAGTGCCATCTGGTGTGCCTGGGACCGTAGGAGGACGCGGACGCGGAACACGACGACTAGTGCGAGCAGCACGAACAGGCGACGCAGGATGAGACCAGGCTCACGACGCTCAGCAAGACCTCCAGTAGGACCAGTGTAGGGAGAAGGAGCAGGTAGGGGGGGAGGCGGGCGGTAACTGTGACTGCGACTGGACAGGCTGTGGACACTCTAAGGGAGGAGCAAGACCAGTCGAGGGCGGGAGACCAAGAACATGCTCAAGGAGCGGAACGAAGTACGGCCGCGGCCGCGCAGCGCCTCCAGAACCAGTAAGGATAGCACCAGTACCCCCAGCGGCAGCACCAGCGCCAGCAGCACCTCCAGCTCCAACAGCGCCAACTCCAATAGCCTCAGACGCACCAGCTCCAGCAGAAACACCAGCGCCAACACCTCCAGCTGCTCCAACTCCAGCAGCACCAACTCCAGTAGGACCAGCAGCTCCAGTATCGCCAGTACGAGCACCTCCGGGACCAGCAGCATCAGTAGTACCTCCAGCTCCAGCAGCACGGCTCCAGCGCCGGGCAAACCACTCGCGCAGCTCCTGTGGAGAGAGTGGCTCCCGCCTCGACGAAGCACCGCCAGCGGCCACACGAGCAGACCCAGCGCCCCCAGGCTCCGCACCCCCAGGCTCCGCACCCCCAGACTCAGCACCCCCAGGCTCAGCACCCCAAGACTCAGCACCCCCAGGCTCAGCACCCCCAGACTCAGCACCCCCAGGCTCAGCACCCCCAGACTCAGCACCTCCAGACCCGGCACCCGCAGGCTCAGCAGCTCTAGCAACACCAGAGTCAGCAGCCACCTCGATAGGCTCGACTGCGTCTACCTGGGACACACCTGACGGGGCAGGACCCTGAGGGGGGAGGGGGTCTACCGTGGGAGGACCTGGTGCAAGGAAGAGCGGCGGCGGGGGGAGGGGCGCAGTGCGGTAGGGGAAGAGACGGTAGTAAGGCACCGACTTGTCAAAGGTGACGTCCTAGGAGGACAGAACACGGCGCGAGGTGGGGTGGTAAAACTGCCATCCAGGATGCCAAGAAAGACGCAGGGAACAGCACGGGGGGACAACTTGTCCGCAGACAAGTCGCGGACAAACGCCCGAGATCCCAAGACCCGAAACGCAGACGCATCGCCAACCTTCCCCGTCCACCGCAAGGTGGGGGAGGTCTCTGGCAAGGAGACCTGGGGCTGAAGGTTGAGCTGATGCGCTGTGTACTGGATCGCAAATGGCCACAGAAAATGGCGGGCAGCCGCATGCATCATGGACGTACGAGCGACGTCCATGACCATGCCAATGCGGCGCTCAGCAATCCCATTTTGCTGTGGAGAGGCCGGAAGCGTGAAGGTCTGGCGGATGCCCTGTCTCTGATAGAAGGCTCCTAGACGGGCAGAGGAAAACTCCCCGCCTCTGTCAGAGTGCAGACGCAGAACAGGAAAGTCCGAGCTGAAACTCTCCCTGAGCTGGAGACGAGCTGCGCGGATCCAGTCGATCAACACCTCAGTGACGTCACCCTTGCTGCGCAAGGGGAAGACTGTGGTGTAACGCGAGTAGTCGTCAACCACCAACAGGAAGTAACTCTCGTGACCCTAGCCACGGACGCGGGCGCGGCCCCACACGTCCATGTGGAGAGTCTGCAGCAGAGCCTCTGTCGGAGGAAACTCGGAGGAGTGAGGGGTGGCGCGCTGTCGCCCCTCGACGCAGGGGACGCAGGTAGGGCCAAGCCCCGGAGGTAGGGGAGGGAGAGACCGGGGGAGACCAGAGACAAGGACACGGGAGGCCATGCCTCGGAGACGAGGCAGGGAGGGGTGACCAAGGCGGTGGTTCCAAAGGAGAGTCTGGTGGGACAGTAGACGACACGAGCAGGGAGCAGACTCAGGACCAGACCTGGACGCTGCAACAAACACCTGACTCGACGCAGCTACCTGGCCAGACTCAGCAGCCGGAAGAGACTCAGTAGAAAGGGTGTACAGGCTCGACCCTGGCCGACGGGTGAACGTGGCCAAGTGTCGGCCTGTGCGAGCACACGTGCAATGGGTCACCCGCTGACTCGCAGGAGTGAACTGGTCAACCCCCCTATCCTGTAGGTCCGCTCCACTCACCAAGTTCGAGAAGAACGAGGGGAGGTAGAGACCTGACAGGGTGCCAGAGGGGGCTGCCGAGCACGGTAAGAGAGTGGAGAAGCTAGCAAGGACAGGACCCCCAGAGGGGTCCGCCAGGGAGACTGAAACCGGCCGACTGAGCGGCGTAAGCGTGGTGCGGTCTCGAAAGAAGGAGCGGGACGCACCCGAGTCAAGGGTGAAGGTGTGTAAGGCCTGAGCCGACGTAGTACCTGAGAGAGCAGACTCACCAGCACCTGGGGCAGCATACGCACTAGCACCTGGGGCAGCAGACGCACTAGCACCTAGAGCAGCAGCCTCACCAGCACCTAGAGCAGTAGCCGCAATGCCCGGGTCAGGCAGTACACACAGGTAACAGTCACCCTCAACACTAGTAGTCACAGCATACATGGCAGTAAGGATAACATCATAGTCAAGATCAAAGATGGCAACGCCCTAGACAGATCTCCCCAGCGAGGGATCTCTGACGCCTCAGGGAACTGGTGACGCCACGCGTCCGTCAGGCGGCCGAAGCAGCGCTGGGTGGAGTGCGGGCCCCCGCACTGCTCACCAGCGCGGTCGCCGGTACGGAGGACGTAGGTGCAGGGACCAGTACCCCCACTGCGCTGACGCGCAGCGTACCACTCACGAAGCTGCTGAGGGGACAGGGTCTCACGAGTGCGCTGCTGCTGCTGGCGCGGACCACCACCGGACCCACTCCTCTGCGCAGAGTCGCGACCAGCTCCACCGCCGCCGCCGCCACCGCCTCCGCGGCCTCCGCCACCTCCGCCGCCTCCGCCACCTCCGCCGCCTCCGCTCCCTCCGCCACCACCGTCGCCTCCGCCGCCTCCACTGCTGCCACCGCCGCCGCCACCCCCGCCACCACTCCCACCACCACCCCCACCCCCTCCACTGCCTCCACCACCACCTCCACCGCCCCCGCTAGCCCCTCCAGCTCCCTTGCCCCCCTTGCCTTTGCCGGTGCGGCGTCTCCTGCTAGGGGCAGACGCAGCGCCGACCCCGTAGAAATCAACGAGGTCGGCAGCAGCAGCAGAAGCAACAGAGGGCAAGAGGGGGGAGGGGGAACACCCCTCAAAGACGGGGGTGCGAGGGTCACCACGAGAGGCTCCTACAGCGACTATGCTCTTCTCTGCTGCTAGGAGGCGCTCCTCGATGAGGTCAACGGTGAGAGTGGTGGGGCAAACTGAGAGGAAGTGGTCCCTGACTAAGCGAAGAGAGTCAGGGAGCCGTGTGACTATGTAGTAGAGGGTGATGTACATGGGGGGGGGGTTCTTGGCACAGAACTCAGCAGGAAGCGCAGCGCGGTAGCGAGTGTCACTAGTGCGGAGGTGCGTAATGAGGTCAGCGACTGTGGGAAAGGCAGCAAGGTCAAGGAAGAGGTACGGTAGCATGAGGCGGCTCAGTGCAGCAGTGGCAGGGGAAGAGTAGCGTGCAACTACAGCGTCGTACAAGGTCTGAGCACTCTTGTACTGGCTAAAGTGTGCACGCTCAGTGGTCGGTAAGTGGCGACGCACAGCAAGACGGGCAGCGACATCGCGTGTCGCCCACTGTGAGCGAACAGTGCTGGCAGCAGTAGCAGGCGGGGCAGGGGAGGCACCAGAGGTGAGGTCGAACAGAGAGAGGCCGTCTGCCCTATCGCACTGGAGGAACAGCTGGTGGTCATCGACCCAGACCTCAAAGTCAACAGCACGGCCTTCAGTGTCAAAGGTAAGAACACTGGGGGTAGCCATGACTGCAGAGGTCTAGCAAGGAGTGGGCTCACCAGTACGAGTAAGTAGGGCCGGGGCGCGTCGGTAGGACTGGTAGCGGCTCAACGGCTTGGCTGCTGGGCGGCTCGGCGGTTGGGCGGCTCGGCGGTTCGGCTGCTCGGCGGCTCGGCGGCTCGGCTACTGGGCGGCTCGGCGGCTAGGCGGCTCGGCTGCTGGGTGGCTCGACGGCTCGGCTGCTGGGCGGCTCGGCTGTCGGGCGGCTCCGCGGCTAGGCGGGTCGGCTGCTGGGCGGCTCGGCGGCTCTGCTGCTGGGCGGCTCGGTAGAGGCGGCGTCGAGGCCGCTTAGGAGGCGGCGTCGGGGCCGCTTAGGGGCGGCGACGGGGCCGCTTAGGAGCGGTAGCGGGGCCGCTGAGGGGCGGCGACGAGGCCGCAAGAGGGCGGCGACGGGGGCCGCTAGAGGGCGGCGACGCGGCTGCGAGAGGGCGGCGACGAGGCCGCGAGGGGCGGCTGCAGGGCCGCGACGGGTGGCGACGGGGCCGCGAACGGCGGTGACGGGGCCGCGAGAGGGAGGCGACGGGGTCTCGAGAGGGCGACAACGGGGCCGCGATAGGGCGGCAACGGGGCCGCGATAGGGCGGCGACAGGGCCGCGATAGGGCGGCGACGGGGCCGCGAGAGGGCGGCGACGGGGCCGTGGAGGAAGGGCCGCTGAGGGCGGCGCGACGGGCCGTTAGGAGGGCGGCGACGGGGTTGCGAGGGGCCGTGAGAGAGGGGGAGGGCCGCTAAGGGCGGCACGACGGGTCACTAGGGGGAGGGCGGCAGACAGGGCGCGCCTCGGTCAGGGGCGACTCGATCTCAGGGCAGGAAAAAAAAAATCGATGTTCAGTGGTGGGCCCTAGGAAGTTCCCACTAGGGAACCTGCTCTATACCATGTGAGAATTGAGGAATGAATAAACTAGCAAGGAGGTGGGTACAAGTAGGAAAACCTAGACGTGTTGTACCCCATATTGTCTACCCCACTACAGCCTACACAGACTATAGCATAGGATATAAGTTTGACACCGCCTCGAGTCCCGCGGCAGCTTCTTCTTGAACGTCGCCTACGTGGACGACTTGCTTTACACCAGGGACAAAACAGAGCTGCTTGATTGCTTCAAACATGACATCAAGGAGAAGCTGGAAGTGACCATTGATCAAGAGGTCACTCAATTCCTCAGCCTCAACGCCACTCAGACCGCCGACACGATCCACCTTTCCGCCGCGAAATACGCCGCAACCCTGGCTAAGAAGTTTGGCATTGCTCTCGTCGGCATCACCGCCTCGTTCCACACTCCTCCGCCTAATAAAGAGCCCGATACCACCCCGCTCTCCCCGGCCGACCATCGCCTCTACCAGCAGCAGCTCGGGTGTCTACTGTTCGCCGCCATCACATGCCGACCGGACCTATCCTACATCGCCAGCCAACTCGCCTAGTACCTGCGCCGACCTGAAGGGGGGAACATGGCAGACCTGTGACGTTTCTTACAACATTTCATCTCTACGCCCGATGTCGGCCTCACCTATAAGGCGAACCTAACGGCTAATCTACAGCTCGCCGGCTACGTAGATGCCGACCACGCTGGGGACGCATGTAACAGGAGGTCCCACACAGGCTTCACTTTCGAACTTGAGCTTGTTGGAACCATCTCCTAGAACTCACAAAAGCAGGAGTTCATCGCCCTTTCGTCAGCAGAAGCAGAATTCATCGCAGCAAGTGCAGTAGTTCGCGAATGACTCTACCTCACGGAGTTCCTACAAGAAACGAAGACGGCGATGAACGTGGCCTTCAAGTTACTCTACGATAACAAGAGTGCGATCAAAATCACAAACAAGCCGGGCTTCGTCAATCGCACGAAACATATCGCCCTGCATTACTTCTTCGTCAAGGACGAAGTCGACAAAGGGAAGGTACAGCTCACCTACTGTCTGACTGGCGAGATGGCAGCTGATTTTCTGACAAAGAAACTGTCATGTCAGTAGTTCCAGTACAACTAAGACCTGTGCGAAGTCGTCCGAAAGAGCCACGAGGCGCACCACCAGGAATAAGGGGGGGTGTTGGAGTATGAAGGGAACCGAGTTTAGCATTTCCGTAGGTGCAGCTGTACCGCACCTGTCATTATCGAAGCAGCGCTAACAGCAGTATCTGATCAGCCGGTATCAAGGACAGGTGGGTCAACATTCGCAAGAGTCAGATGTCGCGTCCGTACGGTTACACGATCAACATCGAGGAATGGCAACAGGCGTAACTGTCTGTACGGTTACACGCAGCGACTCGATAACAAGAAGAAGTGCAATGGAGTCACTACAGAATTGTCTGTAAAGCACTTATAATAAGGGATGTACCCCTCAGAATACATGGCTAGCTAAGTCTATTTATTGTTTGCGTAATTCATGTTTTAATCAACTTTGTCATTTACATTCACTATGATCAGAGTTCCTACCTACCACAAGACTTACGCTACCAACTCTCTAAGGCATTCCTATCCTCTCCAAAAGATTCTTATTCTAACAAAGTTGGAGCAGCACGCTCCATGTTCGGGTGGCGGAATATGCCGAAATCGTCGCTGCTCGTATCAATAATAAGAACATAGAGGTGTCGCAACCTAATAAATCATTGCTCTTTAGCCTACTGATCCCTGTTTCACGGGCCATACCGGTATTCTTACGGTAGCGCTCTCGCTAGGTTTCTTACGGTACATACTATATGAAAATAGATTCTTCACCACTACCCCATTCTTCCCGCGTGTAATTCACATGGTTCTTCTCTTATTGTGGCAGTCCAGATGTCATGAGGACCTGCCATTGTTATTCATAGACTTCAGGACCCCTTGCGTAGCAAGGGTGACGTCACTGAGGTGTTGATCGACTGGATCCGCGCAGCTCGTCTCCAGCTCAGAGAGAGTTTCGGCTCGGACTTTCCTGTTCTGCGTCTGCACTCTGACAGAGGCGGGGAGTTTTCCTCTGCCCGTCTGGGAGCCTTCTGGCGTGCACAGGGCATCCGCCAGACCTTCACGCTTCCGGCCTCTCCACAGCAAAATGGGATTGCTGAGCGCCGCATTGGTATGGTCATGGACGTCGCTCGTACGTCCATGATCCATGCGGCTGCCCCCCATTTTCTATGGCCGTTTGCGGTTCAGTACGCGGCGCATCAGCTCAACCTTCAGCTCCGGGTCTCCTTGCCAAAGACCTCCCCCACCTTGCGGTGGACGGGGAAGGCTGGCGATGCGTCTGCGTTTCGGGTCTTGGGATCTCGGGCGTTTGTCCGCGACTTGTCTGGGGACAAGCTGTCCCCCCGTGCTATTCCCTGCGTCTTCCTTGGCTTCCCCCCTAACGCGCCTGGTTGGCAGTTTTACCACCCCACCTCGCGCCGTGTTCTGTCCTCCCAGGACGTCATCTTTGACGAGTCGGTGCCTTACTACCGTCTCTTCCCCTACCGCGCTGCGCCCCTTCCCCCGTCGCCGCTCTTCCTTGTGCCAAATCCTCCCCCGGTAGAACCCCTCCCCCCTCAGGTTCCTGCCCCGACAGGTGTGTCCCAGGTAGACGCAGTCGAGCCTGTCGAGGTAGCTGTTCACTCTGGTGCTGCTACAGGTGCTCAGCCTGCGGGTGCTGGGTCTGGAGGTGCTGAGCCTGCGGGTGCTGAGTCTAGGGGTGCTGAGCCTGGGGGTGCTGAGATTGGGGGTGCTGAGCCTGGGGGTGCTGAGTCTGTGGGTGCATAGCCTGGGGGTGCTGAGTCTGGGGGTGCGGAGCCTGGGGGTGCGGAGCCTGGGGGCGCTGGGTCTGCTGGTGTGGCCGCCGGCGGTGCTTCGTCGAGGCGGGAGCCACTCTCTCCGCAGGAGTTGCGCGAGTGGTTTGCCCGGCGCTCGAGCCGTGCTGCTGGAGCTGGAGGCACTACTGTTGCTACTGGTTCCGGAGGTGCTCGTACTGGTGGTACTAGAGCTGCTGGGACTGGGGGTGCTGCTGGAGTTGGTCATGTTGGAGCTGCTAGCGGTGCTGGAGCTGCCGGTCCTGCTCGAGTCGGTGCTGCTGGAGCTGCTGGAGCTGGAGCTACTGGGGGTGTTGGCGCTGGTGTTTCTGCTGGCGCTAGTGCGTCTGAGGGTGCTGGAGCTGGCGCTGTTGGAGCTGGAGGTGCTGCTGGCGCTGGTGCTGCTGCTGGGGGTACTGGTGCAGTCCCTGCTGGTTCTGGAGGCGCTGCGCGGCCGAGGCCGTACTTCGTTCCGCTCCTTGAGCAGGTTCTTGGTCTCCCACCCTCTACTGGTCCTGATCCTCCCTTAGAGTGTCTGCTGCCCGTCTAGTCGCAGTCACAGTTACAGCCTGTCTCCCCTCTTCCTGCTCCTTCTCCCTACACTAATCCTACTGGAGGTCTTGCTGAGCGTCGTGAGCCTGCGTCTCGTCCTGCGTCGCCTGTTCGTGCTGCTCGCACTAGTCGTCGAGCTCCGCGTCCGCGTCCTCCTGCGCTCCCAGGCACACACCAAATGGCACTGCGTCCTTCCACTGCTCTTCTGCGTGTCCCGTTGCCGTCTCCTCCAGAGTCATCTCTTCCTGTCCTTCCTGACCCTGAGTCTGACTCTCTTCGTGCTGCCGGTCCTACTGTCACGCGTCTCCTGGCCACTGCTGTCACTGACCCTTCTTTTGAGTCCACTGCTGCGTCTGCCTTAGTGGCTGAGCTTGTCGACATCGCTGCTCGCTGTCGTCTAGACTACGCCACTAGTCTTGTTGCTGAGTCCGAGTCTGTCTGTCCTCCGTCCGTCGGGGGTGGGTATGCTCTTAGCGCGGACGTCCTTGAGGACAGGCAGGAGGAGTTCCAGTGTTTTGCTGCTGCTTTGCCTCATCTCGTGTCCACGCTGATTGCCCCTGAGGGAGACCCGGATGCACCAGACATCCCGACTCCTCGATCGTACGCTGAGGCGATCGAGGGTCCCTACTCCTCTCAGTGGCAGCCAGCCATGGACGCAGAGATGGCTTCCTGGAAGTCCACAAGCACCTACGTCAACGAGGTTCCCCCACCTGGGGCGAACATCGTCAGTGGCATGTGGATTTTCAGGGTGAAGCGGCCGTCGGGTTCTCCACCTGTCTTCAAGGCGCGTTACGTGGCTCGAGGCTTCAGTCAGCGGCAGGGAGTTGACTACTTTCAGACCTTCTCTCCCACCCCAAAGATGACCACTCTTCGGGTGCTGCTGCACATAGCCGCTCAGCGCGACTACGAGCTTCACTCTCTTGACTTCAGCACAGCTTTCCTGCAGGGCAGCCTGCACGAGGAGATCTGGCTGCGCCGCCCACCTGGCTTCACTGGGTCGTTTCCTCCTGGTACCCAGTGGAGCCTCAGGCGGCCAGTCTACGGTCTCCGCCAGGCGCCCCGTGAGTGGTACGACACACTGAGGACTACACTTGCGGCTCTTGGGTTTGCTCCTTCTACAGCCGACCCGTCGCTATTTCTGCGCAACGACACCTCTTTGCCGCCGTTCTACATCCTCGTGTACGTCGACGACTTGGTCTTTGCCACTGCTAACACTGCTGGACTCGCCCACGTGAAGTCCGAGCTGCAGAAGAGACACACGTGCACAGACCTGGGTGAACTGCGCAGCTACCTTGGCTTGCAGATCACCCGAGACAGAGCACAGCGCACCATTACCTTGACTCAGTCACACATGGTGCAACAGGTCCTTCAGCGCTTCGGCTTCACGTACTCCTCCCCTCAGGCCACTCCTCTGTCTACTCGCCACTCGCTCTCAGCTCTGCCTTCGGATGAGTCCGTAGAGCCGAGTGGCCCGTACCCAGAGCTTGTTGGCTGCCTCATGTACCTGATGACCTGCACACGACCTGACCTTGCATACCCTCTTAGCATCTTGGCACGCTATGTTGCTCCTGGGAGACACCGACCAGAGCACATGGCTGCAGCGAAGAGGGTGTTGCGCTACGTGTGCAGTACGTCGGGCATGGGGCTAGTGCTTGGAGGGCGACGTCGAGTGGTCCTCACAGGTCACGCAGACGCTTCTTGGGCTGACGACCAGCCGACACAGCGGTCGTCACAGGGTTACACCTTCAGCCTTGGCTCCGGCTCTGTTTCGTGGCGGTCTACCGGCTCGACTTCTGTTCTCAGCTCCAGCTGTGAGGCTGAGATCTACGCGGGGGCCATGGCTGCACAGGAGCTACGCTGGCTCAACTACCTGCTGACTGACCTAGGAGAGCCGCCTCGTTCTCCTCCAGTTCTGTACGTAGACAACAAGGCCATGCTGGCCTTGTGTCGGGAGCACAGACTGGAGCACAGAACGAAGCACATTGCTCTTTGCTACTTCCTGGCTCGTGAGCTGCAGCAGCGTGGTCAGCTCCGCCTCACCTACGTGGCCTCTGAGGCCAACACTGCTGATATCTTTACCAAGGCCCTTCCGCCTTGTGATCATCAGCGCTTCTGTGCTAAGCTAGGTCTTGTGCCTACTTGGCCTCACTTGCTCACTTCGTGACCTTGTTTGTACTGTACTCTTTCTATACCTGCACTTGCTTGTTTACCTTTATATATATGATCTTGCATGTGAACTGGCCTTGTGGCCTTGCTCTTGTGCTCGGACTGTGTGGTGACGTTGTGATCCACCCTGAGCTTGTTTTGCTTTGCTTGACTGGTCTTGTGACCCCTTGTTCTCCCCCACTTTGCCTATGGGGGTGTGTCAGGCATATATGCGATAGTCTGTGTAGGCTGTAGTGGGGCAGTTCATATGGGGTACAACACTTTAGAGTTTACTACTTGTACTCCTCAATCTGCTCAATGCACTCATTCCTCGTTTCTTATCTCTACTGCGCTGCCCACGGGCAAAAATAAAACCCATATAGGTAAGGCATGCGTTAGGGATGCACCAACCCTAAGCACCTAGAGGCAAGGTGTTTGGGGTTGATGCCTCTCTAGCGCATGCCAGGCCCGAATGGGTTTTATTTTTGCTTGCGGGCAGCGTGAAACAGAACTTAACTAAATTTCTCTTGAATTTTGTGATAACAATAAAACAGATCGCGGTTCATGCGATCGAAGGCATGCCACGTGGCGATAATAAAACGAACCGCGATTCCGCGGGTTTGAGCAAAACTCTCACACCATCTACACGGTGAAGTTGAAGGTTCTCCCAACCCAACCACCAATCGATGTGTGAGTCCGGTGCGGTGCAGTGCTTATTGCGCATCTTTTTACAAAATCAATTAGCCATCCTTGACGATTGCACGCTCACGCGTGCAAGGAAATGAAGCAGTGGGGTGTAGATCTAGCTGCGAAACTGACGTCGAAGTCCGATTCGCCCTGACGTGCTATATTGAATTGTTTTTCCGCACGCAACGATTGCCTAGCTGTCCATTCTCAAGGAAATGGCGTTGCATGCCCACGAAATTAAAGGCAGGGTAGTTTGAGTTTGATTTACATAAGGTCAAATCAAATCACCGCATTCTTCCGGATAAAACACCCTAGGGTATTATGAAAACCACTGGGAAAAAATGGGGGGGGTCTCCTCAAAGGAAAATCCTACATAATACCCGGGTCTAATTATATGGTATATTTTTTATCAAGTAGAAAAGATGTGAAACAAAATCAGGTGTCTGACTTCACTTCAAGATTGTTGACCAGTGCCGCAAAACCGAGTATACGAGACCGCCCACTGGAATCTGCCACGTGGCATATTCGAGTGGGCAATTTTGGCACTTGATAGGGTGAAAACAAAGCCAATTGTGTGGCGAGGGTTCATGCAACCGCCGAGGCCAGAATCGCGCACGGTGGTGCGTTCTTACTGTACCAGTCACTTCTTGACTGGTTTGGTCACGTGTCTGTGCCTCATGTGAGAAGGTGATTTTCACCTATTGGGCCACTTGCAGCGGAAGATTCGCCAGCGTGGCGACAGCGAGATTGTGGGAGGGGGGAAATCTTGGCAGATTTTAAGTGAAAGTACACGCGAAATTTCACCTAGGGAGCAATTCTCGCGATATCCTCCCGTAAGGAATCGGACTCGATAACAGCTAAAATAGGAATCTATAAGAAAAGGGGGGTGTTATAGAAAATCACCCCAAAAGGGGGGGTATAGTACAAACGGGGTCGGATATAACACCCACCCCGTATTAGCTACCCGGGGGTGTACAATTACGGGGGGGTGTTTTATCCGGGAGAATACGGTACATGTATAATATTCGTACAAGAGTTAGTTCATCTATTCTTAGAGTTCTTAGAGCCCTGAGACTTCTATTACAAAAGAAGCTGCTCTATTGGATCAGCAACACGATTTGCATATGCCAGACGAAAGGTAATGTTTCCTTCGCGCAATTCTGGAAGTAGACTTGTGGGATATCGTTTTTGTGAGCTTCAAGATGCAACTGTGGTGAGCCTACCATGCGCAATGGACATTATTAAAGAATAGGACTGGGACTCGAAAAAATACTGCAGCGAGTGGCGAAAGAGAGCTGAAGACAATGTGAGAGAAGAGTGGAGGGTGCAGGCAGAGTGGCAAAAGAGAACTGACCATGTGTGGTCACAATGAACAGCAGTCTTAGAGCGGTTCCAGTTCACCCCTTGGAGCCTCCACCCAGCACACCAGCTCTGGGCACACGCAGCACTTTCAACCAGTTCTGCCTTGCCTTGGAATTCACCTCCCCAGCATCCACAGCAGAAGCAGACCGGGGCACTTGCTTCGGCAGACCCGAACCTGTTTCCAAGGCTACCCCGAAATCTGTACCACAATCTTGTGGTGGTGGATCTTGATTCGAGCCAGCGGCGTTCCCCCCAGCCTCTGTGCCAGGCTTGGAAGGGTTGGAGAGGAGCGGAGAAAGCAGGTGCTTGAAGCGAGAGCGGGACAAAGTGTGGGAGAGGGAGGAGAGGAGCGGGCCAGAGCTGATTTTGCTGGCGGCCTTTTGGGTCGGCTCAACAGGCACGTCGCGAGACAAGGTTCGGGACAGGGAGGAGAAGAGCGGACCGGAAGTGAATTTGCGGAAGGGCTTGTGCGTTGACTCAACAGACACATCGCGGGACAGGGTCCGAGACAGGGAGGAGAAGAGCGGACCAGAGCTGAATTTGCGAAGGCTGCGAGAGGCAGGAGACGAGAGGGTGGATGAGTGCGGGAGGGTGGGGGGGAGGGAGGCGTTGGCAGGTAGGGAGGCGGTTGGGGAGAGGATGGATGAGTGCGGGAGGGTGAGGGGGAGCGAGGCGCCATGGGGGAGGGAGGTGGTGGGGGAGAGAGCGGATGCTGCTGGGCCGAAGGATGGACGGGGGGAGACAGATAAGAACGGCAGGCTAGAAGGAGAGATGAGGTCTGAGTCAGATTCCTCGTATTGGGAGTCTGTAGTCCCCTCTCTGGATGCAGCTTTCCGTCTGAAGCCAGCCTGTTCCCCTTCTGCATGCCCCCTCTCTGCATGCCCCCTCTCCGCGTGCCCCCCCGCTGCATGTGTCTCCTCGATTATCACTATCTTTTTAATCTCCTCCTGTTCTTGTTCCAAATCTGTGGCTCTCGGATCAGCTAGGTCCTGGGGGACCAAGCTTGCTGCATCAGGAGAAGCAGCATCCGCAGCATTAGCACCAGCTGCCGCCGCAGCAGCAGCACCACAGTCAGCAGTATTAACAGTATTAGCAGCAGCAGCAGCAGCAGCAGCAGCAGTCATAGGCGTCATGTCAACCCAGTTAGATTTCACCATGTCAGCAGTAATACTAGCATCAGCCCTTGCCACCACGCCACCGGCACCAGCATCACCAAAATCATTTCGAGCCTCTGCAGCAGGTCCGGCACAAGCCTCTTGAATCCGTTCGGCGAACGATCCGGCAGAGTCAGTGCTATCAGAGGGAACGAGTACCCTCCTCACCTGCACCATTCGGCTAAACTGCACGCGCCGATCCGCCCTCTGCTGCTTCATCCCGCTGGCTGCTCCGCCTGGTGATGATGACTGCTGGCTAGTAGGGGATTCTGCGGTGGCTTGGTGATCGTCGGATGGCTCTGGATCCAACGGCTGTGATGATGGTAGACGCAGGGATGGCGACCGGTTGCGATTCCAAGCTGCTGCTTCTGCTGATTCTTCGGCTTCAGTTGCTCCTTCTGTCTCAGCTGCTGCTGATTCACACGGCGAGGGACGGGAGCAGGGGGGACCAGAGCAGGGGTCAGCTTATATTCTCAATGCGCAATGGATAAAGCATATAATCCAAAGTAAAATTTCAATATAATTTCCAAGCTACGCTAGGATAGAGACGTGAGAGAAGGGAGGGATAGATTTCATGCATCAGGCGTCTCGTTTCGAGGTGCCTCAAAATCTCACTTGGTCATAACAGTGCTGCAGCTGCTTCGACTTTTGAGGCGCCTCAAATGTAGATCTCGTGCATGAGGCGTCTCGTTTCGAGGTGCCTCAGAAACTCACTTGGTTATTTATTACAGTGCTGCTGCTGCTTCGTCTACCACTTGTTCTGCTGGTGCTGCCACTTGTGCTTGTGCTGCTGGTGCTGCTACCTGTGTTAGTGCTACTGGTGCTTCTTTTTCTACATACCTGAAAAGGCAAAGTCGCTTGCATGATATGCCGCAGCAACAGTAGCAGCAGAAGCAGAAGCAGCTGCAACTGCAGCAGCTTCAGCAGCAACAGCAGCAGCCGCATCTGCAGCAGCACCATTGATGTGCAACAACCCAATGCCGTTGCTTAAACTGCTCTTATGCCAAGACGTCTCTTCTCTTCCCTCCTTCCTCCCCTCCTCACTTCCCTCCTCTCTCCCATTCTCTGTCTTCTCGTTTCGTTGCTCCACTCTTCCATCCTCTGTCCTCCCACTTCGTCCCTTCTCTCTCCCCTCCTCTCTCCCCTCCTCTCTCCCTTCCTCTCCTCTTTCCTCCCGTCCCTCCCCGCCTGTTCTTTCCGTGACTCCCAGATCCAGATCCAGATCCAGATCCAGATCCAGATCCAGATCCAGATCCAGATCCAGATCCAGATCCAGATCCAGTACCCCAGCTGCAACAGCACCACAAACACAAGTACCACCGCCACCACCACCACCACCACCACCACCACCACCACCACCACCACCACCACCACCACCACCACCACCACCACCACCACCACCACCACCACCACCACCACCACCACCACCACCACCACCACCACCACCACCACCACCACCAGCAGCAGCAGCAGCAGCAGCAGCAGCAGCAGCAGCAGCAGCAGCAGCAGCAGCAGCAGCAGCAGCAGCAGCAGCAGCAGCAGCAGCAGCAGCAGCAGCAGCAGTAGCAGCCGTAGCTTCAACAGTCCCCATACCGCCACTCAAACTCGCTACCCGCGCCATTTCACGAACCCCTTTCGCCCATCCAGATTGCAACTCCCGCCTTCCCTCACCCTCCCTTTCCCCTCTCTTCCCACCCCCCACTCCCCCTCCTTCCCCTTCATTACCTGTTACAGCAACAGCAGCAGCCGCTTCTTCTAAAGCTCTCATAGTGCTACCCTCACCATGGCTGATGGCCATTTCTCGGAACGATCCCACCAACGCGACCGGCGCTTCCCCTTCATTACCCCTCTCAGACAGCGCAACAGCAGCCGCCTCTGCTTCTAACGCCCTCATGCCCTCACTCGTGGCACCACGGCTGTTGCTACTAGCAGAATCTACTGCCAGGCGCGGATTCGCCATTTCCCGGAAGGATCCCACGAGCGCGACCGGCGCTTCCCCTTCCATCATCCCAACATCCCATGATCCTTCCGCCTCCACCGCTTCAAATTCTTCCGCCTCCCGCGAAACGTCCGCGCCAGCAGCGCTAGTACTAGCACTTCTACGAAAGAGGTGGGGTGTGGGGATGGCTTGGGAGCTGCTACTACTATCACTCAGCCTCAGAGACTTGGCAGTATCTTTGTTGTTACTGCCCATACCGAAGGAGCTGCGGCCCGCTGTATTAGTACTACTTTTAATAGCAACAGTACTACTATTAATAGCAACAGTACTACTATTAGTAGTAGCACCGCCGTAGCTCCGTCTCCTGGCGTGCTTTGAGTTGGTAGTATCAGCTTCGAAGTGACTCAACTGGGACTGCAACTCCTCCTCCTCCTCCTCAGTAGTCTGCTGCTGCCGTGCTTTCTGCATGGCGCTCCTTCTCCTGCTGACGGGATGTGGGTTAATAGTACTATTAACGGTGGTGGTATCAGCTTCTATCTCGAATTGACTCAGCTGAAATTGCCACTCCATCTCCTGCTGCCGTGCTTGCTGCCCTCCGCCTCCCCAGCTGCGGCACCTCCTGTGTGACGCTCGCTGCGGAATCTGCTGCTCCTGCTGCTGCCGCTGCTGCTGCTGCTGCTGCCGGGAGTGCGGGTTATGCCCGACTGTCGTCGCTCGGCGGACAACTATCACGGACTCGTCGCCGCTGGAACTCTTCTTTGGTAATACGCGGCCGCCGCCATCCCACTGTTCCCCCCCGCCGCGAGGCGAGCGCGGAAGATTGGGCGGAACGGCGGACCCCCTGTCGCTCGCATTGCTCTTTCCGCCGCGACCGCCGCCGCCGCCGCCGGCTAATGATGGCATGATTCGTCCAGACGACCACGCGCTGCCACGGCTTTCCGCTGACCCCGACCGCGGCGCCGCGGCGCCGCCATCGTCCGACAGCCGTCGCGACGGCGCTCCGAGAAGATCTGCGCCGCGGCGGTTTGAGAAGATGCGCGTGAGCGTCGCGAGGCGGCCGGGAGACTGCGGCGCGATCGGCGGCGGCGCGGCCTTCGCAAGCGACGAGTCCGAGTCGGAGTCATGTGACGTTGCGGCCGGCAGTGCCGGCAGTGCCGCAACCAGATCGTCAAGTTGCCATGACTGATAGAAGCTAGTATCCGCCGAGTCGGCGGGGGCATCATCACCAGCGGGTTTATCAACGCTGTTAGAACTACCGACCTTGGCGGCTCCCATCGCGCTTCGGAACGAGCGGAAGTCGGAGAAGGAGGTGTTTCTTGAGTGTCCGCCACGGCCGCCCTTCCGCCGCCGGCCGCTGGGAGTGACGGGCGAATCGGGAGGCGGAGCGCACTCCTCGAAACTTACCTCCGCCCAAAGCTCCTCCATGTCGATAGACGCGGTCGCTTTATGGCGCACGACCGTCGCGTGCGGGCTGCGCACGGGGGTGAGCGCGGCAGGCCGCCACGCGGCCTCCTCGGCGCCGTCGCTTTCGCCCCCAACGGCGGAACAGGATTTCGAGGAGGGAAACGCTGCGCGCGCGCGGCAGGCGTCATTCCGCCTAGCCGCCGCGGGATTTTTGGGGCTGCTTGCTGCGTGATCCAAGGTCCGCGCTCGCCGGGTTTCGCCAAAGTAATTCGGAGATGAGCAGCTGGCACGGCGCGGATGGGGGAGGGTGAGTGGACGGCTCAATGGCGGAGGAGAATCGTCGCCAGATGGAGGTGCGAATATCGAGTGCGATGGTAAGCGCCTCGGACTTCTACGTTCTGGCGGGGAGCCCATCGGGAGATTTGTTGGACGAGATAGCTGGGGATGAAGAAGCGGCGTTGGGCTTGGTAGTAGGGCTGAAATGTAGGATTTCATTACTCGGTCCTACTGGTGATTGGTGCTCACTGCTCTAAGTCTACTGCCAGTGAGTGTGTTGTTATTAGGAGGGACTGAGGTGTTGCTGTGTTGGCTTGTTGCCATGGCAACAAGCATGGTAGGGTAGTTTTCCCGAAGGCAAGTTCAAACATATATCGAAAGTTCATATCAAGTGCCCTGAGAAACAAAACTACACGAATATATTTCTCACGTGGGTCAGGGTATATTGACTTGATTCACGATGTAAGTTAGGGCTTGCCGCGTAAACAATGGACGTTTATATGGATGCAAGTGTGATGCAGCACTTTAAAGGGAACGTCGACATCAACCATTTAAGTGCTGTGGAACTCCTTTCAACCATTATCCTCAGTTTGAAAGGAGTTCCACAGTTGCTGTTTTTCTGGGTACATTTTCCAACAGGCAGCAAAATATTGGGTTCACATGTTTTTTTTCACACTCAATAGGTTCCGGTTGAGGGTCCAGTCCTTTTTCTAGCAATACCGGTCTTGTATTTGTAAGTATTGGACAGCCTGTATCCTCTCTGGAATATAAAAACTCGTCCAAAACGTTTATGCGTGTACACTATAGCTAGCCTCGGAGTGTTTCAATTCAATGCTTTCGTGGTCCCAGATTGCGTTGGAGAAATCCAGTTGACACAAGACCCAACTTGTTTTTCGGGGCCTCTTCGACTAGCGGAACAGAAAGACAAGAGTACACAAAATGTTCGTTAGAGTAGTAGACATATTCAGGGAACATAAATCCCAATATTTGCTGTTTGCCAATGATCAAACCAGCCCAATTTTACTTGGACTGTTATATTTAACCTACACTGTATGAAACCGGTTCCCTTAGGTACACATTATCAACCAGAAAATCTATTTATATGTATAAAAATAGGTCATGTGTTCATCGTCTCTCTTGTTAAATAATAACAAACACAAACGTATATGAAGACATTGTTCAACCAAAGAACAAACTTGTGCAAAAGGTTTTCATGCTTTGAGATTTGATATTGTACCAGCCCATAATGAGGGTTGGATAAATTACTTTATTACGTACATATAGTAGGAGATTCCAACTCTATAGGGTCAATATCATGGATTGTCGAGTCTGCTTGATTACGTTTACGCACTCGTAATCAATCAAAATAGACAATTGTACCAAAGAATTGATTATGGCCTGGAAAAAAATCAGTGCTAATTATTTATAGTATTCTGTAATATAATGTGCGTTTTTTTCAGAATCTTTGAGAATATCATGACGAGCCGTTGGTACAAAAGCAAATCGTAAGTGAAAGCTTAAAGTCACTCTCTTTCTATTCATACTGATTCGTGATTTGTACAGAGAATCGAGTGCTCTGTACAAGGGAAAACTTCGATTGCCGATGGGCTGGTGGTGACTGGGAAGTGTTGCGAGTCTTGTGCAGTACAATCGAAGTTCAAGCTTGCTGTACAAATCCTTGGGAGAAAGCGACAGAAAGGGCCGATTTTATTTTATTTTTGGGCTGGTTTGTTGACGACATAGTCTGCAGAGAGGCGACAGGCTGGCTGGCAAAAGGCAGCTGAATCGAAACAGGGCGACGGACGAGGAAATGACAAAGCGCCGTGTTTTCAAATTTCCAATTCCAATGGGCAGTGGTTTTGACAGCGCATTGCTCTGCGCTCGCGTCCAATACCTTGGGGCATATTCTTTCTCAGTTTCTCCTTTTAAGTCCACAAATACAAGTTGGTTTTAGGTTACGGGGTATTAAAAATGTATTCGTCGAGTCCATGGCAAACACTCAGCTCGGGACAAGAAAAATATCACCCTCATGGATGGTATGCCACGAAGAGAGCATCAACCCTAAACACCATGAGGCAAGGTATTTAGGGTTGATGCCTCCCAAATGGCTTGTCATCCGAGTGGGTTTTAGTTTTTCCACTGGCCTCTATACTGAGCCCAGGTACTGGATATTTGCCCTTCTATACGTTTAGTCATGAAAAACGGGAAATAGCAATATAAACTGACCGCGGGAATTGGGCGCGAGCGCGGTGGGAGTCGCTGTCAAAGCCACTGCCGAAAGGAATCGAAAACGTGCAAACACGGCGGTCCGTCATTTCCTCGCGACGGACGGACCACCTTTGACAACCCGTTCGAGGCGCGACGACAGTGATCTTGGTCGCGCACTAACCGGCCGGCTAATCAAGCCCTCCTTGTCACCGCCAGCCGATTTTACCCGTCATCAGTTCGCCATCCACAGAGTCATCCGACCACCGCAGTGATTCATTCGTCAATTCAAGAAATTGTACAGAACCAGTAAAAATCAGAGTCAAGACTCAAGAGTAGTACCCACTAAGTCAGCCCGCTATGTCTTAGTGGATCCACTGAATACACCGATTCAGGCAAGCGCAGCATACACACCCATCCCTGCGTTGCCATAGAATTGAGACATCTCAAAACAAACCTGTTATCGCAAGCCAAGCCCTCCATTGCCCGAAGTTACCCTCGTTCCCAGTCGACCTGCTAAGCCCTAGAAGATCCACTCAAGCCACCAACTCTCGGCAAGCGCAGCACTCTCACCCATCTCTGCCGCGCCTTGGATTCCACCTCGCCAGCTTCCATCTGATATACCGTAAGCGTAAGTGAGCTCTTGAGACGTCTCAAACACTCATTTATATCACCTTGCTAGGCCTCGGCAAGCGCAGCACTCTCACCCATCTCTGCCGCGCCTTGGATTCCACCTCGCCAGTTTCCATAGCAGACACGGACCGCGGCACAAGCCCTGACATACCCGAATTTGCATCCGAACCTACTTCCGAGCCTGCTTCTGGCCCAGGAGGAAGGCTCTGAAGTAGAGATCTTCGCACCCCCAACTCACACCCTCCGTTCGCAAGCACCCCCTCCTCCTCCACCCCGGCCCCTTCCCCTCCTGCCACACCCTCCTCTCCCAGCCTCTTTCGATACTCCTTACAAACAACCCCTGCTTCTTGCCTTCCTATCACACCGTCTCGTGCCCCCACACCAGTCTCCCCACCCTGATTAGAATGCACCTCTTTGCTTGAACCTAACTCCATTTCTCCGGCCGCCACACCCATCCGCTTGGATGGGCTGAAAAAGAGAGCAGGGGCGAGAGTGATGCTCCTGAGTCGTGAGCGTGAGAAGGAGCGAGTGAGCGAGGCGAGGAACTTGCGACCCGGCGAAGGTGAGGGGGAGGGGGAGGGGGCTGAAGAGGAGAAGGAGTGCGGGAGGGCCGGGGGGGGAGAGTCGATCGGTGCGCTGTGGTCGATAAAAATTGTATCGGACAAAACAGGAAGGGATTTGGTTGCAGGGATGAAGGATGTGAGGGGGGATGCGGATGGGGAGAAGATGGAGAGGAG